TTGATGTTTATTTTATGTTTTTTAAAAAAAAAATTCCATCATTTCCTACCTCACCAACATAGGAATGAATTACAGAATGTATATTTTGGTACTAGGGGGACAATGGCTCAGTGTAAGACTATTAAAAAATATATAATCATAATCTAAGATTCAAATTCACCTGAAGTTGTTCCATCAGCCTTTGATAGTACAGTAAGTAAGATTTCAGCATTAGCACTTGTCTACAGAGGAAACTGAGTTTACAGCGAGCGAGACACAGACCTTGCAGTGCCCTAAGTGGGGTTTAGATGCTTGCCAGGTGCTGCCCTTAAGAGTTTAATGTCTTAGCGTGTTGTAAATGCACAAGTCACCTTAGCTAATAAATAAATTCACTCTGTAGCTGAGCTACAATCTTTATTAAGAGATGCATAGTTGGTTAGATGTGTGTCCTCTTTACCCACTTCCTTGTACAAATGAGACGCTAAACCAGCAGGCTCTACACGCAGCCTGGGCTTTGGGATCAAACACCTGTAGCCTGTGATTACATCGTAAATGTTGATCCTTCTTTTCAAGTGATGTGCGAATTCTTATTCATAGATGTATTCTTTGATTGACTTGACTTCTTGTCATGAGTGCTCAGTTATAAACTGCTTTCATAGCTGTTTTGCTTCTTGCCCAAAGGAACTCTGCCAAGACAAGCTCTTCTTCATCCTCCTGGTATCTGGCCAAACCCAAGCTGCACTGTAGTGGAAAACTTGTATCCCAGCTCTTCGCAGCGTGTTTTGGGTGGTAGGCGCTCCAGGGATATGCCAGTCCATTTGTAATATTTTGTTGTGCAAAGTCACAGTCTTTGTCTGCCAGGTGATTCAAAGGCTATGCTGAATATCAAACAAGATTAAAGAATAAGAGTAAATTGGAGACACTCCAGTAAGGTAAAAGCTTAAACATTCAAATGTGAAGGTGGAAACAATTAAAAAAAAAAAAAAAAAAAGTTGTGCTGTTAGCTACCTGGAACTTTAACTTCATTCACAAGTGTTTTTTCACATTTTCCTCCCACAAGGGGTTACTTAGTGCTGAGAGAGATCCTAGCAATTATTTCCTTTGGCTGATGTGCTTTTCAGAAAAGCAAGCTCTTGCTTTGGTTTTGTTACTTACACCCCTCGCTTCTTTTGCATGCAGTTGGAATTTCAAGGAGTACTCTCCCTTCTCCACTACCACAATGTAGTTATTGTCTCATTTGGCTTGTCTTGGACAGCAGAGATTTGATGGGTTTTGATTTTGACTTCTTTAAAGTAACTTCATTTGCTCTGCTCTGTTTTCCATTTTTTAAGAGTTTTACTCTAATTAACACCTTCTGCTAATGCATTGGGATGTTTCTTTCCCTTCCCCTCCATAGTCTGGCCTAGGCTTGATGTTTCTGTTTTTCTGGTAGCACATACTGAAGTCCATAGTGGAATTCTCTCTGCTGTAGTGTTTAATACTCTCAGAAAGCTAAAGCAGACCTTCTGGGCAGAAACTGTTGGTTGTACCAAAGATAATGTTACTTCTGTTCTGACTGGGACTTTTTAAAATGTTGCCCCCTTACAAATAAGTGTATTTTTCCCCCTTTTTGCTCCTAAATGTTGGTAGCATTCACTCCCTGTGAGCTTTAGAAACTCTATGTGTCCCACATCTGTCATCTTTAAGCATTGCGAAAATCTAGTTTCTTATTCAGACACTGAATAATTCTGCATAAAACGTAGGATAGCTTCTTTGAGAGTCACTCGTGAACAAATGCGTAACATGATACTGAAGAAACAAATAGCCCCAATGAGTCCCTTTTACAGAGAAATACAGATGCGAGACAGTCCGTCATTTAATGTACAGCAGCTGTTCCCAGGACAACACTTCCAAATGTGAGCCGTTACCCACCCAAACCAGTGCCGTGAATTGAGAACGAGTGTGTAAGCCATGCTGGATTTTTAAAATCAAGTTTCAGTTATTTAAAAATCAGTTATTTACAAATTAGCTTCAAAAATGCTTATTTCAATTCAAGCGCATCAAAGTGACATGTTTGTGGACTTTGGGAAGAAAGGAGGAATCCACCATAACAAGCACTGCACACCTGGTATGCTGGCATACGAGTAGGGTTGTGATAACGTCGTCTATGCATCACTGGTTCACATCACTTCCAAAAGATCCAATTGTCAAAAAACCAAAAGCTTTACTTCCAAAAGTGGTGGTCAAGTCCAACTAGACCCTTTTAGAAAGGGCAGGTTCTTCTTCGGGGCATGTTCAGAGCTGATCTAATCACTACTTCAAATTTCATGCCTAAATTATGCCTCAGTATCAGGAAGGATTTAACTGGACGTATTATTTGCCAAGGAAACAACACTTTATCCCTAAAAACTCTTGAGTCTTGATATGTGAGGCAACAGACCAGCAATCCAGTAGGCATGAGCGTGCCAATAGCAGATCCGCTGAGCAATAGCGTCGGATGCTGCTTTGTTACGTTGGTGGCACAGCGCCCAGGAGCAAAGCAGCTAGTGCAGTCCCATTTTCGGCCAAACTTCACGTGTCAACTTTTTCTACCTTTTGCTGTATTGAGGAATTTAGGATTGTTATGTTTACAAAAGCACAGGATTCTTTTTCAGTAGCTTTTAGACACCTTTATGCCAGCATCCATCACAGCCTAGCTACTATGGATTTCTCTCCTTTTTTTTTTTTTTTTTCCCATCTAGACTTCATACAAAGTTCTGCTAAATAGCACTTCTCTCCTCAAAACTAGCAAGTGATGGAAGATCACTTTAAATTGGTTACGTCAGGAATCTTAGCTTCAGAAAGTAATTTTCAGTCAGTAGTATAAGAAAAATTTTGATGTGTGTTTTTTGTTTTCCTGAATTTGTAAGGAGTCTTGATTTGGACCTGCTGCATTATACTCTGCCAGCAGACAGTGTTCTTAATGCTGTGCAATTTGAATCTGTTCAGTAGATCTTGAAGTCTCATAAAATGGTTTGAACTTTGTTCCATCAGCTTGTTTTGAGGGAAGAGAGGAATGCGTTGGGGAAATTAGTGCAAGTGGATTTGTATTCAGAGATATTCTAAGATGACTCTTTGTCCAGATTTTAATTTTTCTTTCTACTGGCTGTGGTTTGTTCCGCTAGCAAGCGAGAAGTCTAGTTAACAGGATATAAAATTGGAAAGAACAGATTCTTACCAGGTTTTCCGTGGCAGAAGCACATCAGTTTGCCCTTCCTAAATGACCTATGATGATCTAGCAAATCTGTCCAAGTTTTACTGTTTGTCGTGAAGCCGTTTTAACAGAACTAGGGGCTGGGGATATTTATTCTGAACCTTACTATGGCCAGATCCTTCTGTGACATTGGAGAAGTGACTTAAAATTTACCCATCTGTTTACTGCTTCATGATATTAGGTTAAGTTTGGGCTTTTTATGACTAAATGAAATTGCAGGGTATTTGCAAAGGATATGTCTTTCTATGAACAGCAGAAAGGATTGTCTTTCTATGAACAGCAGAAAACAAGTGCAGAAGTGTTACAGTTGGTACTCACCCAGGCAACTTACTACTAAAATTCTTGTGCATTGCAGATGAACAAGAGGCCTTGAAGTCCATCATGAAGGACCTGGTAGCACTCCAGATGAGCCGACGTCACAGACTGACTGGCTATGATACCATGAAGAATAAAGACACTGCTCACTCCAACAAACAGGTAATAGGTACTTGGAATTCTTACCTGGAGGCAGAAGGGACAGAGCAGGTTGCCAGTGGGTCTGCTGCCCATGTTCTCTCTTGTGCTTCCAACTGCGGAAGCATCACTGGTGGATTAGTTCCCTATTCTGGCTCAGGCTGTGTTGCCAACATAGTAGCTTTTATTTACTTACCTTTATGGACTAGGGAGGTTTTGATAATTTGCAGCCTCTTAGTATACTGCCTTCCTCCCACGCATGTTTTTGATGGGGTTTGGTCTGTGTGGATTAGCTAAAAAGTTTACCAGATGGTTTTCTGGTTTCATGATCATATTGCCATTTTTTTAAATGAGATTTTTTTTTTTTAAAGAAAAAACACAATGCCAGCAGTCCACCCCTCTTGGGCAGCCCTGCAATAACAAACCAGTGTGCCTCTGCAGTGGAAGAAAAAAAAATTCCGGTAAGAAAACTGGCTTTCTATTCAGTATTAGCAATTATAAATTAGGGGCATGTTTTCAAGTTGTGTGCAGTGACCTTTATGGAATCATTTAAGCAGGTGTGGGAGGCCAGGAAAGCTTTTCTTTACTGACTCTGTCATGATGTAGCAGTATGATGTACTTTTCATTGTAGTGGAATTAATACTTAAATTCAAAGCAGGGAACTGAGAAGCATAATGATGAAAAGGAAACAAGTATTTTTATTTCTCATGCAAAAGGAGGCCACTGCAGTTTAAAGCTGCATAAAGCAGTCTGTCGGATAATGAACTAATGCTGGTCTCATCTTCACATGATTCTGACTGCTTGGGAATACAGACTGAAGATCCAGATGAAAGTAGTCAAACTGAAGCTGATCCAAGAAGAACAGTGAAGGGGATTGTCTGAAAGGACTGGCTTTAGTGAAACTGCAGTAAACCTTGCTTCAGTGAAAAAGGGAACAGCTATTTGCAGGTGTCTGAATAAAGGCAGCATCCTTCACACAGAGGATTGTCTGGAGTTCCCCAGTCGTATGTCACACACAGAGAGGAAAGAAACTAACCCTTACTTGCGTATGGGGATTTTAAGTCTGTTTTCCAAAAGAAGTACTTTTCCCAAGGTAGTAAGTGGCAGGGTCAATACTTTAAAGTTTCTCTAGGTTCATTCTACATTGCTAGAGACTTTTTTTTCATAGAGAGAACTATTGCATTGACTTTCTGGTAGAAAGAAAGGACAGAATAGTATCACTCAGTCAGTGTATGCTGCATATCATTTGAATGAAATGCTTGAATGCAAAAGCAACAATTTCAGTCAAGAATTCTTTGTCCATTACTGTCTTAAAAATTAAATCAAGTAACTTACAGTTAGACTAATGTTAACAGGAGAAGTTGCCTATATTGGTAAAAGAACTCTTTCCACTTACATCCTTATTACAGGCTTAAGCTTTTTGGAGCAGGCTTTAAAGTTCATGTCTGTCTTTTCCTTATGCTTTGTCTGCTCATAATCTACTTGTTCAGCTGGGATCTGGGATTTCCTCGAATGTGCTGGACAAATCTGTAGACAGAGTAGTACAAAATCCTTTCCAAATCACTTTGAAACGCAAATTCAGAGATGTCTTAAATCAAAATCTGTAATTGTTATTTATGATATCGCGTCACAGACAGTCTCTTAGGACAGTTTATGTGACTTGCTTTGAAAAGTGGTTTATATAGGTGATAAGTTCCCTGTTTGCAAAGGAAACAACACTAGATGTTTAACTCCTCTAGGTTCTCTCTGAAATGTAAACACTAAGATCACTTTGAATACCTTCTCTTAGGTCTTGGAAAAACAGACACAAATAGCCAGTGTCTGATCCTTTTGGAAAAATCATCAGGAGATAGATGCCAAATTCCACCCCCCTTCCCTTTGTTACAAATTACAGGTTTGAAAACATGCAATGCCATTGAGAAGGATATTTTAGTTTGCTTAGGTACCAGCAAGTTAAAGAAAGGTTTCCAAAGAGCCCTGAGGATCTTTTAGTGTTGTCTAATTTTAATCAGCGAGAGCTTTGTCATTTAGCTGTTTCATGACCTAAAACATATCTTGAGGTCAGAAACTTAATCTGAAAAATTACTTCAATTTAATCCAAACAGTCCTGTTTCGTTCCCTTAGACTGGGCTACTTGGTTTAGCCTTCCTTCCCTGAAAATCCCTAATACAAAGGATCATTCCTCCATCCTTTGTGTCTGAGAAACGGCTATTTTATCAGTAGTTGGGTGGTGAACATATTTTCTATTTTATTATTCCTATGCGTTTTGTTGCATTTTTCCTTTACTGTTCAATTAGAATGAGTTCTCTAGAATTTGCTTCACTTTACTGTCATTCTAGAGTAAGTTCTTTCTCTTCCCACATCTGAGAAAACATCTCTGGTAAAATTCTGTGTAAATTACCCACCTGCAGATGATTATTGCTCATTTGCCATGATAATTCTGTACCTACAGTACCGCTGCAGGAATACTGTGTACTCGCAGTGATTGCACGCGTCCCTTTGAACTGCATTCTTGACCACTAGGCCTGCCAGATACTTCCTCTAGCTAAAGAGCATTTCCTGGCCACTTTTTTTTTTAAGTTCCTAGATGTATGATTGCCTATTGTCTAAGGCTTTCACAGATGGCTTAATCTATTCCAATCACATAAATTGTGCAGCAGAAATTATGGAACCTTATCAGAGCAGATTTTTCCCTTTTATTTTTATCTTTGTGACCTAAATTGGGATTTGAACTTCGATCTCCAGAGTTGAAAGTTCGGTGTGTTGACTCTTCTGTGCCACATAGCATCTTCTGGGTTTAGAGTGAAATGCGCAGGTTGCACGGTCAGTGCTTTTAACCATCTGCCAGATACGAATCACGACCCCTTTGCACTTTAAAAGATGACACATAACTTGTTTGTAACTTCATAGCTTGAGTTTCAGGGGCTGAATTCTTGCAAAAGCAGAGATTTAGTTTGTGTCTTAAGAATAAGGAATGTAGTACATTGCCTGTATCTCTCTGTTTTTGCCTTAGAAGAAAACATGCTTGCTCTGAGAATGCACGAAAAAATTAGCTTCAGTTCAGATCAGTATGTTGTTGGACTCAATTTCAGATTTTTGTGTTAAAAATGGATGTGTTTAAAGTGTTAAAGTGCCATGCAGTTTTAAAGATTTTAAAATAACTTTAACTTCCCTTAAAGTATATTTCAGTGTCCTCTGTTTAAGTGACGATTAATAAAAATTTTACCCCTTTCCTTCTCTTTCTCCTTCAGCAATTTCTCCATCCCTCACAATGCTGTGTTCACATATCAGCTGCTTGTTGTCCACAGTTTGCTTCAGCTTCCATGGAGAAAGTTATCAGACTTGGGTTCTTTTGAGGAGTTGATGCCTGCTGCAATCACAAATTGACCTGCTTTGTGTTTGGGCCTTAAAAATCATAAGGTTGTGTGTTATTATTTATGCCAGAGTTTCATTGTGAACTGACCGTTTGTTCTTTCTTCTGCAGAATGATGTAAGGATAAAGTTTGAACATAACGGTGAAAGACGGTAAGTCTGTCTTTGCTACTTTGATTCTTTACTTAGTAGAATTATTTAGTCATTAGTAATTTAGGTTAAATGTTTTGTTGGCTTCACTTTCCTTGCTTCTGAATGAAAACCACACAGTAAAGGCAACAGCAAAATGGGTCAAACACAGCTTGGTTATTTTTAAAAATCAGTGTGTCATACAACACTTTCCTTTTGATTTATTTTCATAATATTTATTTGTTAGTGAATCACAGTAATATTAAAAAGCTGTCCAGCCTGAAATAAATTCAGCCTGATAGTCTTATTTCAGATATGTTCCCTATTTGTTTCATTTAACTAAAACCAAATGAAATGGATCAAATTAGTGTCATTCTTTTCTAGTTTCTCACTTCCTGATGACCTGTCACTATCACTGTCCTGCTGTGACTGAGCAACAGATACAGCAAGGGAAAATTTTTTTATTGGTCTAAAAGTTCCTTGTTATTTCCTCTGATACTTGGTTTTGAGACACTTTCTTTTACAAAAAAACAGAATTAACCAAATTAGCATTTTTGGTGTTTACAGTATTGTTTCCAGTAGGTAGAATTGCTTAGACATTTCAAAGCAGGTCTCAAAAAGCCCCCCACCATCTACTTGAGAGGAACTCTTGATACTCTTACAGCTCTTCAGTGGCCCTGTGAATGTACAGGAAGGCTCCAAGCTTCTTTGCAGCCTCTTTGAGGCTGCTCTTGAGCTCTCACTGAGGGGAAAAAGCTATCTTGATGTCCAGTTTTTTGGTCTTGGTTCTTTTTTTTTTTTTAAGAACTGAATTGGATTGTAAGCATGAATTTATATGCTACTCTTCACAGACATCCTCTGAGAATCCTTTGGTTTCTTCCATCCCAGACAGTACTTTCAACACGTAGTAGTTCACGGTTTCAGGATAAAATGCAAATTTAATGTTGATAGTACAACAGTGCAAGTTGTATGTAGTGATCCTAATAGCCTGTTAGTAGCAAAGGCTACTGACTGAGCTGCTTAAGCTCCTCTGTCAAATTTAGGGATTTTCGTTAAAACACAAAAGCAGAGGCATTCTTTGTTGGTAAAGCAGGCAGTAGAGAATAATTCACAAAGTCTTCCTCAGAAATCAAACTGTTTCATTCACTGAAGTCCTACATGGTGAATTCTGTCACTAAAAAAACCCTGACTTTTGGTGCTCAAGGAGAAATTTTAAAAGTAATCGTAGCTGGGATCTACTGCCACCTTTGTCAGCCAGATCTTCTCAGCACTCTGCTGCGTCAAAGGCATTGTGTGGGCTACAACAGAGCCACTGTGCCGCATGTCACAACTTCTAGCGATGCTGTGTTAGGACAAGGTAACTCAGAAGCAAAATCTTGTCACCACAGTCGTATCATCTTGCATGTCTTCTGCCTCAGTACATTTAAGATGGCACAGAGCTCAGGGGAGAAGAAAGGGTTTTTTTCTGAAGTAACATTAAAATGAAAAGGTTGATTGTGTGTTAGTCTAATTATGCAGTTACGCTCGCCTGAATTCCCCATTCCCAAAGTGGTATGCAGTTACAGACAGCAAGCTTGCACTGAGAATGTAAGTGTGTGTGCTTGGTTTCAGAGGAGCTGCCAGATCTAACCACAAATATTTAAGGTGGTCAGGCAGGAATGGGCTCCTTAAACCCTCCAGTCCATGATTTTGTTAGAAGAGTGCACAAAGTTTTTAAACTAATAGAATTTGTGGCACCTGAGAACAGCTCTGCTTTTTAATGCATTGAGTGTAGAATGGAAGCCTTTATAAGGGACTTCAGCTCAACTGAGAGCTAAATTAGGTTTGTATGGTGCCAGAGGACTATAATTTCATGGATGGGTTTCTTAGTAATATGTAGAAAATGTTATTGTGGGCTGCTTTTTAACAAGGACAATTATTTCTAAATAGCTGAATGTTGTAGGTCTGGTAGCAAGATGAACCCTTCCTGGGAAGGGGCTAAGGAAGCCAACTAACACCAGAGCTATTTAAAACAAAAACTGCATATCATGAAAGGATACTGAGTGCTGGCGAAGCAGCCTGGATGGATGTTTTGGAAACAGCCTTCTGTCCAAAGCATGGGTTCAGCAAGAGCTCATGTGAGCTTCCCCAGAGGTAATTCAGGGTTTCACTGAGCTGAAAGAGTTGCCCCTGTGAGCAAGATAGGTCTTGAATGTCTGTGGTCCATTCAGATCTTCCGATTTCCTCCTGATGGCAAAAATGTTATGTGATGCTAAGGATCAAGCTTTTTGTGGCAGTATTTCAGCTATGCCAAAGCGGAGTTGTTTCAAGTTGCAGCAGTGGGGTAAGCAGCTATCAAAGTGGTCTAACAGTTTTCAGAACAATGGTGGCTGGCTGCTCTGCCCCAGAGCTGTTTGTTTAACTTGCCGGTAGTGGAGACACAGTGTGGTCTCGTGGCCCATGGAAGCAGATGGTGAGAAGCCTGGTTGCAGGAGCCCGAAGGCAGGAACAACCAACCATCTGGGCCTTGAGCAGCAGAGAGATGAAAAGTGGGTTTCTGAGCAGTAGACATCCTTAGTTTGCTGGAATAGTGAGTTGTAAACTATATTCCACTAAAATAAACAGTTTTAGATGCTTTGCCGGAACTTCATATTACTACTTTGCCTAAAGCATTAGAGTTTCTATTCCAAGGTAGGCAGAACAGTAATAAAAACCCAACAAAGAAAACTATGCTGTCATTTTCTGAAAAGCATGCATGTGCCACAGGATTCCGCAGAGTTCCCTGGGATGGCTGTGCCCGTTGCCATTTTGGATTTCTTGAAGCTGTTTGCGTATGTAAGCCTAAAACTCCTGCCATTCAACTGGCGAGGAAATGGCTGCATGCTAGAACGAGGGGTTTAGTGTGCCATGAGGGCTGGGCTCAGGGACAATGATCAGAAGAGTTTACATCTGCACATCTTTTGTGGGTCAGTCAGTTGGTGAAGGTGCCCAGAGGTTCATTGCATAGGAAGAATACTTGTGAGGGAAGAAGCATGAGAGTATGAGACTGATTTGCCATATATGAATATTCTGTTTTATGTGAATATTCTGAATTATTGGAAGTCAGCTGTGCCACTGCTATTACAGCTGAAGCAGTATTTAAGTTTTAATCTATTAGGCCTCTAATTAAAAAAAAAAAGGCAATTTATTTAAAGCAAGCCATGAGTGACAAACAGTTGCACAGTTACAGTTAGATTTGACTTCAACTCTTGAGAAAAAGCCTGTGTTGCACAGGATGTAAAGGATAACTGCTGAGACAGTGTGTCTGTGATTCAGACGTTTGAGTTGAGCACGCAGAGGGCTTAATGTGGAGATAACATCACAGGCCACCTTTGGGAAAGAGGGTTTTCAGATTCCTGTGTGTCCTCCTGCTGATGTCTTCCCTCAGGAGCTCGGGACTAACTTTGCTGTGGGAATGTTTGTTGAAGCCTTTCAACTGGAACACATTTTGGAAATTTTTAGGGAGAGAGTTTTGAGTTCAGATATTGGAGTACTTAAACCAAATACTTTTTTTCTTCTTTGGGCCTTCTGCAGCTTTTAATTCAACTCTCACTGAATGTATTTGTTTGTGTTTTGTGCCCGAGGCAGTATTCTTTAAGCCAAAAGTGCACAGGAGATTTGTATCCTGTTGTGTGGAAGAAATTTATTCAGTAAAGGATACTTTTCTACCCGGCGACAAAGGCATTCTATTTGAAAACTTCAGTTGAATATGGCATTTGGACAAACCATTTGGAAATGGACCAGAGATCAAGAATTCCTTGCTAAAATAATTAATATCAGTTCAAATTAGAAAGGTTCACTACCTGCTTGAGGGTGAAGGGAGAACACTCAAATGTGTTTTTAATGGTTCAGCCATCTAATTTGATTGCATTGTCAAGTATATCTCTGAATTCAATCAGTGATTCTCTTTTGTTCCAGAATTATCCCATTTGTCCGTCCCGTGCGCTATGAAGATGTGCAACAGAAAGTGAAAACAGCCTTTGGCCAGCCACTGGACCTCCACTACATGAACAATGAGGTACAGAGCGTTGTATCAGCGCTCGGAACATGTAACACTCTATCTGGATGACACCTCCTTTCCCCATCCCAAATTCTGTACCCTTAAATTTAATTTTCAGTTCTTCCCTGTAATATGAACCATAGTTGAATCACTCTGGTCCAGAGGAAGACATGCTGACACTGGCAAAACATCACAGTGATGTGTGTACTGTACAAACATCAGCATCTTGCTTCCTTATACTCGTATTGTTTGGGAGACTGTCTTGGGGAAGTAAAAAAAGGTATTTGAAGTATTTTCACTGTTGAAAGCAACTATTGCAGGCCAATATATATACTGTCTGAGGACTGCAGGCAGTCCCAGAGTCACAGCTTCAGCTGCCTGAAGTCAGAGTCAGTATTGTTTGTGTTTGCCTGCTGACCAGCAGCAGCCATCTAGCCATTTGTAACACATTTACCTCCTGCTGGCTTCAACACTTCTGCTTATTGCCCAGCTATGAGGTGAACAAGGGGAGTTAGAGAACAGGGAACATGGGGAGTAGCATTTGTCTCTGAGGAACTGGGTAGTCCCTGTTAATAATCAAAAGAATTTTGTTGGCTTTCTCCCTCTGGACACCCTGGCTTTTTCTTGTGTTTTTTTTGTTGTGGTGTTGCCCTGCCACCATTCAGGACTGCGTCCCTAATGAGAGAGATGCAAAACCCGATTCACCAGTAGGAGTTGGACAGCAATGAAAGAGGTTCTTCTGTGTTAATAACATTCACGTTTCAAGATGTGAGTGGGCTGTAGAATAGAGGATATCTGAGCATAATTTCATGGGGTCTTGCTAGCAAGTTTTAAATTCTTCTTTGATTCCCTGTTTCAAAGTCTTAATCTTCTTCTTACAAGTCTCTCTCTGCAACCCAATTTTCACTCGATCGTTAGATCTGGATTCATAAGTATTCTGAGACAGCGTTCCCATCAGGGAGTCAGGGGCCTGTCTCTGACTTGTTCTTTGCAAACAAGTTCAGGTAGCAATTAATGTTTTTGTGGATGGTGCTTTAGAGAAATTTGCATAGGGTCAGCCATTTCTCTGATGGCGTGGGAGGAAAACCGTGTTAAAAAGGACAGTAAGACAGTATTGTAATGAAAATTTGTGGAATAACTGAGCAATCGGAAGCCTATCTTATATTCTGATTATTTTTTTTCTTTTTTCTGTAATGTTTGTTTAAATACCTGTTGTGGAAGTAGACTTATTCTTTCTGTCTTTTCTAACGAATTTTTTCCTGTTCTTTATTTTGCAGCTGTCTATTCCTTTGAAAAATCAAGATGACCTGGATAAAGCAGTAGATCTCTTAGACCGAAGCTCTAATGTGAAAAGCCTTAGAATATTATTGCTGTCTCAGGACAGAAACCATGTAGGTAACAACTTCTGTAACTGCAGCAAAATGAAGGTTTTTACCCTTAAGTCTCTGAAACATGATGGTAGCCTTATCTGAGAGTAACAGCATTAAGTAAAATCAGTCTTCACAGACCCAAATGCATATGTTTATCCTCTTTGCTTTGGCTTAGCTACAGGTATCTCTCTCTCTCTCTTCCCCCCCCGCCCCCCCGGCTTCAGCCACTGTTCAGGGAGTAAAACGCAGCTTTTTAAGCACTAATATGAAAGCCATTTTATATCAAGTACCAAATGATTGTATTCAGAAAACACTTAATGAGTTTGATTCGCAGAGAACTTTTTTTACCTTTGATTAATAGCACACTGTTGAAAGTGCATGTAATTATCTTGCCTTGAAGAAAGCACAGGTTGTCCTTGAAGACAATCTGTCAGCACTTTTTTTCCGTAGATGAGAAGCCTAAGGACAGATCCCAATGATTTTTCAGTTCTGTAGCTTAATGCATTGAATCTAGCCTTACTCTGTAGAAACTAAGTTGCTTTTAGCTAATAATGGTATATTCACACCTAAAATGAATTTAATTGTGTCTTGGTTCACTTTCCTATACCACCGGTGGCTGTGGCAGTGAGTGTCAATGTAGCTTGCACTTTTCAGCAGAAAAGATTGTAACATGAGAAGCAAGTTTTTAAGTCAAGCTCCCAAAACTGCCCATTCTGGATGGTGAATTGAACTGCGAGATGAAGGGGGCAAAAAGAGTTCAGAAGTTCCCTTATTCCTGATCTGTGACTGGAGAACTTTGCTCACTCAACCAATGTCTTTTTTTTCTTTTCAGAATTAAGGTCATACAGCTTCTCAAGCCAAAGACATAGCTTAAATATCTGATTTGCAAATTACCAAATTCTCCTGAAGAGTGTGACACAAAAAGTTACTCTGTCTGAAAAGCCCTGTTGGTAGAAGCTTGGTGATCTTGAATATTCATCAGTATTCAAGTTCTGCAGGCTGTGAGCTCAAACTCTTGAATTAATCACACCTGTAATTCTTGGAACTGTGAGGAGAACTTAAATACACTCCTCACTATTTTTGATAATCTGTGTTAATAGAAATACAAAGACCTTCAGGAGTGCTAACAGCCCATTCCCAAATGACTGGAAGCCAAAAGCTGGAAAGGTGTAGGAGGGGATGATGCTGTTTCTTGTCCTGTGCCCTTTCCCTGCGCATTTGTTACTGGCTGTTCTGAAGACAATACTTGGCAAGGCGGCCTTTGGTCTGACCTAGCGTAGTCAGACTTTGTTCTGTGTTGTCAGGAAACAGTCTGTAAAAGGTGGCCTCAACTTTTGGTATAACGCAGTAAAACAATCCTCTTTTACAGACCTCTCTTAATTTCAGTGTCTTCAAACTGCAAACCAGATGTTAAATGATATTATCTAAACTTTACATAAGCCGCCTACAGTAAACACTTAGTAAATCTCATCCCTACACCAGCCAGTACTGTGGTGTTGTCCTTTTATTAGCTGTTTTTTCCTCTTTTGCTCAAAGCAGAAACAAACAGCGAAGTCTTCAGTAAGTGCCACTGTTTCCCCCCTCTCCTCCGACTTCCTCTTCAGCTCTGAATTGCCTGAGAGGAGAGCCCTACATGTGATAAAGCAAAAGCCCACAAGTCTGAAGGAGGTTTCTTGGCTGCATGATCTCATCCCACTGAGGGAGCGGGAAGCATTATTTTTCCTGAAGTACAGGATGCAGATTTTGTTTTGGTTGTGCTCTTTTCTTTTTCTGGGGATGGAAAGGTAATGCCGTGACTTTGGCACAAATATGTATATAAAACAAATTAACTTTACAGCAGTAGCTGTGTGACTAGTACTGAGAGCCTGTGTTTGTGAATAGTGTTTATATTAATTTTCTTGTGCCTCTTTCTGTGGCTCATTTGTGCTTTCTTTTATCAAGCAGCTCACTTCTGTTGTCAGTCCTTTCTTTGTGTTTAGAAACTAATGGGAAGAACTGGTTAAGTTGAACACCTAGAGTACTAAAACCAGACTGTCCACATAAACGGTGTGACCTCTGCATCCTTTATTCAGCTCCCGTGAATCTACTTATGGTAGAGTTTATGTAATTTAAATCGGGCTCCCTCCTTACTCTGTGCAAGGGTAAGCGCTTATTAAATCAGCAGCTATCCTTTACATTTTGATTGTGTGGCCTCACACCTTGTTTGCCAATCCTCTTTAAATAATTTTCAGAAGACAGAATTAATTTTCCTTGGTATCTCTTTGGTTCTGTTCATGTCGATAAAATAAGTGCTTTACAAGCATTAAATTCTGTAACACACAAGAGGAAGGGAACGTTAACATCCTCTCGTAAAACTAGGTACTTTGGGACAAGAGATTAAAATGGAAACTGTCCAGTAGTACTAAGCACCTGCTTTGACATGCATAGGATCTCATTTGCTTGGGGGAGGCTGGCAGTTCACAGTATTTCAGATGTTCACACCTTAGTGCACCATCTGTAGAGAGCTGCTGTCTTGTTGAGTCCTGCGTGGAGAGTGCGCAGAGGTGTTTGCTGCCCACAGCTGAAGTCTCCTTATTTCCAAGGGAGCAACCCTCTGGAGTCGGAAGTGGCCTTGCAGTTTCTTACGCAGAGCTGCGTGTAAGAGCTGCACAAGGGGGGCACTGGTCCTCCTGGGCAACATCCTGCTGCCCTAAATTGCAAACCATACTGCAGTTCCTTTTCCTACAAAGCATGCTAGAGTTACCCCTTCCATCTTTCTTCTAAAATGGGGGAGAAGTCCTTTGACATGTCTCCTGTCATCCCTTTTCCTGCTTTGAATGAGATATCTGAAGGCACTGTGGAAAAATGATCTTTGATTAGATTATGTCTATGTAAGTTCAGGGAAAGTTGAATAAAAGCAATACAGGCAGCATTGATCATGGCATCTCCAAACTCTTTGTGCTCTTAAACTCTCTGGAATTTATTTTCACTTAGACGGTCTGAATTGTCAGTTTGCTTTTTAAAGATTGTGGGGAGTCAGGGTGCCATCTAACTGCTTCTGAAAGAGTGCAAGATTCGTAATTTATCTCTGGCCAAGGTAGCTGATAGAAATTGTAGGTTCTTCCGTGTTCTGGTCGCAGTGAGTGATACGAGCCCCTTCCTGTGGGTGTCATAGGTAGCTGCTAATGGAAGACAAATGTGGAAACTTGTAAATCCGGCACTCAATTTGAGGCTGGAGGGTAGCATGCTCTAGTTGTTCAACTTCTGTTTTACACCATAATTGTAAAGCTTGCTCATTCACTGCTTTTATTGTTTGTGTTCTGTGAAGTTAATAAGATCACAGGCTCTAGAGCTGTTTCTCAGCTACTTTCTTCCTACTAAACATAACGATGTTTTTGAAACTGTGGCCAGACTGCTTGAGCTCCTCAGTCTCATTTTATTTTATTTTATTTATTATTTTTTTCATTTTACCCAACAGACCAGTTCTTCACCCCATTCTGGACTGCCCAAGCAAGTCAGGATTAAAACTTCCCAATCTGTGGGGGATGTGAACACACCCTATCAGCAGCCAGAACCCAGAAGTAGGCATCTGTCTGTCAGTGAGTATTTTTGCCCCTTCTGCTTGTCTCTGTTTTGTGAAAGGTATCTTTGGGCACTAGTGTTTATGGTATACCATAACCATAGTGTTTATGAAAGCCACTAGAAATTGAAAGGTTATTCTAGGACAAGGCAGTTCATTTTCAAAAGCTCTTAATATATTTACGATAGAGTGTTTCAAAGTTCCTTACTAAGTTGTTGAACAGCTGAGGAGCTGCAAAAGGGGATGTCCTAAAGCCAGATTCATTGAGGCTAGAAATTTGGAAAGCTTATGTGAGTCCATTAAGCTTTCTATTTTGATTGGCAATTTCAGTTCATGAAACCTAGATTTGATTTTCTTTTTTTTAATGTTGGGCTTTGGAATCTATCCTCACTCCAGTAATCAAGCATTTTACTAGTAGCACAGGAATTGCCACTGCATATCCAACCAGTGCCCTCCATACTGAGTTCCCTAACCTTTCACTCTTGGAATTACCAGATGAGTAGAGCACAAGGCTAATATCAAAGGTGACTGGCAAATGAGAAAAGTCAGAGTAATATGTACCTTTGTCTCCTTGCCTTTGTCTTTCTGTTAGTGAACTCATGTTTAGTGGAAAGGTCCATGTAAGACTCCTGTAATTTTTAAGACCTGTATCTCTGGTAGATTTGTCTGAGTCATCCCAATTTCTGTGTTATAACCCCTTGTATAACTATGCAGTACTATTCAAATCTGTGGTTGAAGGATGCTCAAAGCTGTCAACATTTTAGATGAAAAACTAAAACATCTGAAACTGCTTCAAAGATTTAAGGGTCAAAAAAAAAAAAATCTCTGGTTTAGAATCTCGCTCCTTGGTGTGAAACTCTGTGAGCACTGAAAGAGCAGGAAGAAGGTGAGCAATTAATAGAGATCTGCAGTATGAAGGGTAGAGCCTAAGAAGGTGTTCTGTGTAAATAACTTTTGCTTTAGAAGTGAGAAAAGATAAATTTTGCTGGAAACAGCAGCAGAGGATGGCTGTGTTTGTTACAACAGCTATTTTAGGGCTTGTCAGACCTAACGTTTCAAATGGCAGGTGCTGCAAATCACAAAGGCAGTACTAGGAGCTGGGAATGCCAGAGTAGTTTTGTTTCCAAGTTCTAAACCAGCTCCCTCTGTGGTTCAGATTCATTAACTGTGTAAACTTGAGGCATAATCGTTACAGGATTTTAGATCATTATTCACAATGCAATCTTAGTGTCAAATAATAAATCCTATTAATCTAGAACAGACAGTCTCCATAGTGTGGCGGGGTCCAAATCGGAATCAGATCCACGCTGTTCTGACCAAAGGTAATTGGGAGAGGAAGCTCGGTAGAGGAGGACTCGAGAACTAGACCAGTAGTTCTCAATACCTGACTTGTCCAGAAAACCTGCTTGTATCCTGTCTAGTCTGCTGATCTGCTTTTATACAGTTTACTTTTGTGAAGTAGCAAAGAAACAAAAAAAAAAAGAAGTGCTGAAAGCTTGTGAAGTACGTGACTGAAACTGGGACAAAAAGGGTTTTCCCATCCTTTCTAGTTTGAAGTTAATATGCATAAAAAGAGCAACATTCCTCGATCCTATGAAGAAGGCAGCAGTATCCATGCATATCTGAACACCACATTTCTTTTTTCACAGACAAATTCAATGCCAGATATATTTTATTTAAAAAAAAAATCTTTCTCCTTTATTGGCATTCTAAGGTATCCAAATAACGACGCCAAAGCTAACAGACTGTACCGAGTGTCTGTCATGGGTAAGCTGTATAGTAATAAGGGGCCCCTTCTGTATCCCAGTTGTGCAGGCTCTTTCCTCTTATCCCAGCATCTTACGGATGCTTCCTGATTAGCCTCTCATTCATCAATCAAAAAAGCATTGGTTTTATTTTCTGAACATATCAAAGTACCAGACTGTTACATTATTAACAGGTCTAGAAGAGTTCCAGTTCTGTCAGAGGTCTGATAGTAATTTGGCAATAGCTCATTCTTAAATCAATTTCTTCTTCCTTCTCTTTTCCTATCTTTGATTTGGAAAAGGAATGTACCCCTGTTTCCTAGCATTTCGGGCATAGAGACATTCCTATTCATACTACGTCATGCAATGAGTCTCGAAAGCAGCGTTCAGCAAAAGCTGTTTGCATGCAGGAGATATGTCTGTGTAGTTCCTGTCTTCTAAAGTGGACGGGCCTCAAGCCTGCTGTCACCAATTCAGAGGTTTGGTAGTAAAGATAACTTTTATTTAAAAAAAAAAAAAAAAGTTGGTAAGCATTCTGGCAGCGCTTGTGTTTTTTCCACTCACTTCCTTTGATATACATTGATTTAGTACTGACTTCCTTTTCCTGCCCAGTGATGGTGGCCTTTCCACAATAGTGTCTGGGCTGATGCCAGCAGGTCTTGGGCTCCCTTCAGCCAGCCATGGCATTGTATCGGAAAGAGGGAA